GATTGAAATATTAAATATATAACTAAAAAGAATTCACAACTAAAAACAAATATAAGATTACCTATTTCATTCAATAGCCAACTTTGAGCACACATTAGAGCCTCCAATGTTTTTGGATGAAGTCGACTACGATGTGGAGTTACCAATCTTCCACCGGTACTAAATGCAGATTCTGAGGCGACAGTTGAAATAGGAACGGCTAATATGTCTCTAGCCATCCTTTGACGTGTTGGGTATTTAAACCCATTTGTCTTCCACCAAAGTAGCAAATCAAGTTCCATGTCTTTAGGCAAAAGTTTCTCTTTCAAATAATTATCCAATTCTGTTGTAATACCAGAATCATCATGTTGGTTGGCAAGTGAAGCAATATTTGATAACAGTTTTTTAAATTCAACCCGATGACTTGCTGAAGACCCTGAACTTAAAGAAGACGAACCACTAACACCTTCGATGTTGTTTCTTACGCCAGGATCACTAAACTCATATTCTTGAAATAAAGTGTAGACCAATTCCTTAAGCTTTTCATTGTATTGGAATCATTACATTGTATTTCCATATCTTATATCACCTATGTAAAGACAAACAAATTAAATAATACCAAGTTACCATTGATCAACAAATAGATTATGAAGTATGAAGTATCTACAGTATCTACGATAAATGTAAAATGATACCAGATAAATATAAAATAGATTATGAAGTATGAAGTATCNAAGTATGAAGTATCTACAGTATCTACGATAAATGTAAAATGATACCAGATAAATATAAAATAGATTATGAAGTATGAAGTATCTACAGTATCTACAGTAAATGTAAAATGATACCAGGTAAATGTAAAATAGATTATGAAGTATCTACAGTAAATGTAAAATAGATTATGAAGTATGAAGTATGAAGTATCTACAGTATCTACAGTATCTACAAACAAATTAAATAATACCAGGTAAATGAAGTATCTAAGATTATGAAGTATCTACAGTATCTACAATATTTATAATCTGAAGTATATAAATGTAAAATGTAAATTTATACTATGAAGATTGAAGAATGGAATAATGGAAAGAAATCAAAGAATGGAAATACCTTCAATTGCAGCAGGAGAGAGCCGAGAGCGAGAGACAGCAGCACAGCGCCGGCGGGGAGTTAGGTCAAGGCAGAGACTGGGAGAGAGCGGCACAGCGCCGGCGGGGAGTTAGGTCAAGTTAGGTCGCCTGCGAGTGGGAGCGGCGGCCGGCGACAGTCATCTCGGAAGGGAGTGACTTCGATCGATTTCAAGCAAGCAAGAACGGAGGAGACGCCGAGACGAAGTGAATGTGAATCTGTGAATGGAGGAGGCGACGTGGTGGAAGGATGGGCTACGATTGAATTGATAAGTGAATTAGATAAGTTGGGCTTAGTATAGTAATTGGGCTACGATTGATATTTGATAAGTTGGGCTACCATTTATTTAAAGTGTAATTTATAAAATTTAAATATATTATATATACTATCGGGCCGGTCCGGGTCGGTGAGTACCGTCCCCGTCCCCATCCCCATCCCCGATATAATCCCCGAAACTCTCCCCGATCCCCGCCCCGTACCCGTTAAGAGGTCCCCGAACCCGACCCGAATTGTTCGGTTTTCGGTTTTCATCGTCGGTTTCGGGTTTTTTTGCCATCCCTAATTGTAGGTCTTCTTCCCGGTTGTAGAACTGTCGTTCTATTACGTTCTAGTATTCGATCTGAAGCGCCCATCAATAGCCATATTACACAGCCAGAATCAGGATGGAAAAGTGGATGATATATATGGCTCGAGCACTGTAGGCTTGGTAAAGCAACTTAAAATTTTGTTTTTGTTATGATCAATATGGACATATATTTATCTTTGTCATTCTTTATCATGTATGCAGCAAGATATGATGATAATGCACCTACTAAAAGAGGGGCACGGGGCATGGAAAGTGTACGCTGAAATGGATCAGGACCATATCAAGACACGATGGCAATTCCGAGAGAATATCGTAGACGCTGGTGTTATGTTAATACATTCTTGGGAGGAGACGCAATGAAATGGGAATGTGGGTTGTATAAAGAGGGTACGAAGCAAAAGAGACAGTTGAAGGATCTCAGGACCAAATATTGTTCGAAGATGCTACTAAGCGATGAGAACATCCGTAAGACATCTATCGTATCGGATGTAGAAAGGTTCATTGCGATGGAGACATCGTACGATGCTAGGAAAAATCATGGTGCACAACTGATGAGTCGAGGGAAGAAATAGATGTTTGCTTATTTTGTCTTGACACATTTATGTTAGTTGGTTTTTCGTACCACTTACCTTTTGCATATTTGTGGTAGCGTAATGTTTTCAGACATAAACGCACGTCATGTGTGTTCATACATTCTCCGTATTTGATTAATCAAATGTTTTTTTAAGGTTTAATTTTGCACCGGTTTGATATCAACAAATTTATACTGCGTTATCGTGACAATGCACCTCGCCTGACAATGTTTCACATTATAGATTGTAGTATGACATTCATTATGCTGTATGTAGTGTAAAACATTAAGAACTAAAATGATGCTTAACAATTCATTAGGCATATCAAATTATGACATTATCAGTTGAATGATTGTTGGGCATGAACAAAAACAAATGATAAACATTAGTGAACATTAATGGGAACCTGTTTACCTTGTGTACAACGAAAAGGTGCATATCATTTGATCTAACTACACACACACACATCTTAATGGCATGGTTTTTCTTGCTATGTTGTTTGATTGTTATTTACCAGCCTGTTTTTTTGTCTAAACGGTGTAAATGGTATTCTCACGTAAGATTAGTACATTTTCTAGACATCTGGAATAACTTGATCGATCTAATCCAAGTAAATAAGCAACAAGATGTTGGCAAATATGGTTAGCCATCAACAGTAAATGGCATGGTTACTTGAACACTACATCATAACTTCAAATACACATACTAGCATAAATAATACGAACGAACATCATACAAATAATATACAAAATATATATGCCATTGACTGATATAACAACCTAGATAATGTCAACCGCAATCAAGTTATTGTCAAGCAGTATCAACTTCGGCATTTATTTTTGTAACAAATCAAAAGCTTGAAAACCAAAAGACAACAGTTTTATTGTCAAGACCCTCCGAATCCAAGAAACGTCAACATATGAATCATACTGAATAATACAAAAACATGACAAGATCGGATGAAGTTCAATATTGTTCACGAAAACACTTACCAAATCATATATTGTCGGTAATTATGAACACCGCACTTACAATGGTTTTATTACTTAGTCTTGGAAATAACAACTAGTGACTAAGACATCTGTTAATTTGTAATAAAACGAAAACTAGACGATGTATGTCAATCATAAGATAACATAAACCGAAATCGGCGCATGACGAAATGTAAAATTGAAAACAACGAAGCACCACTGAAACGATGATATTTCCAGTACTTGGACAACTGATTAATCTATTAATTTGGGGCAATTGCGTGAGTCATGTCCGGTACGTTGGCCACATGTCACACATTTTCGACGGGTTTTCTTGCTTACAGACTGTATTTTCTCAGACACACTTACCAACCTCTTACCAGTACCACAACCCTTGTTCCTTATTCCAGATGGTGGTATAATGTCCACGTCATCCGGTATGGAAACACCAAGGTGATCTCTGATCGTGTTCAACTTTTGTTGGGATGGGTCTTCATATGGTACCTCTTTCTCGATATCAACCATGAAATTGTCGAGATTCTGCTCCAATCTAGTCGGTATCGATTTATCATTCCGGGCGATGCTTATAATGTCGTCGACTTTGGAGTATACATCAATTATGGACTTATCCTTCTCCGCATCCACCTCACCATATCGAACCCTAGCGGATTGTATCTGGACAGGGACCAAATTTTGTTTCCATCGACGTAAAATGTATTGGTTCGGAATACTTTCAACTTCGTCGTTTATTAGAACCTTAAATGCATGACGACACAGATACCCGTTACGCGTGAATAGATTGCACTCGTATTCGACCATGTTGGTTGGGTAGTTTCGGGAGACCTAAAATAGTTACATTAGGTTTTGAATAAACAACAGCTTATATAAACCAAAGAATTTAAAAGACATTAGTATCTATGTAAGGAATATAGTACCAGATACGTGGTGTTGACAAACAATTTCTTGTTATTGTGGCTTATAATGAACGTTTTGAGATCACCCCGACATTCGACAGTCTCTATACCACAAAACCATACAGCCTTCTTTAATTCATTTTGGATGTCAAAGAACACATTTCGAATGTATACCCTTGCGGCTTGACTTTCTAAGCGCAATGGAGTAAACAACTTTGGATATGTTGTCTTCGTTATTGTTTCATGCACAGCTTGCTTATACCTTTGTTTTTCTATAGCAACGTCATAATTGTTAAGGAACTGAACCAAATCAAACCAGTATGATTCGTATATGTTAATATATGAATTCGAACTCTCGGATCTTGATGTCGTTTTCATAAGACCAGACATCGGTGTGTCCTTATAATACGCCGAAATCCATGACGCGTGGATTTCATACATTTTTGTGAACCACGGGTCACCACCTAAATTGTATTGCTCGATCATCTCTTGCCACTTGGTCTCGAATTCCGATGGGCCAATATTTATGTTTCACACGAGCTTGTTAATAACCTCATTGAACAGAGGATCTTGATTTAGGGCGACACTGACCTGCGGACGTATCAATCACAATATGAACATATGAACAGTGACATTTACTTATGAAATAGAGTTGTTTATTAAAGTGTACTTACCTTAGAAGGCACTTTCTTCATGATGTGCCACATACATAGTCGGTGCTTAGCATCCGTAAACACCAACGGGACGGCTTGCTTCATCGTCGAACATTGATCCGTAATCACAAAAACTGGTTGCTTCTCATGGCATTTTAGGAAAGCTCTTAGAACCCATGTAAAGTTTTCAATTGTCTCACCACTTATTAACGCCGATCCAACAACAACCGAAGCTTTGTGATTGTCAACCGCCAAAAAGGAAACAAAAATCATCGCATGCCTATTAGGTAAAATAAAAGTTATAAAAGAATACCAACGAGTAACATACATCAAAAAAACTGATTGAACTTGAAAATCTTACTTGTTGGTGCGAAATGTCCCGTCGAACGAAATTACATCCCCAAACTCTTTGTAGTTAACTCTAGCGACCTCATCTGCCCAGAAAATGGCACCCAACTCCTGATCATTGCACTTGTACTCGAAAAAGTAACCGGGAACAATATCTCGCCTATTGGATAGCTTATTGATCAACATCTTTGCATCCTTTTTCCCAACAAACGCAACTGCATCTCTCTTGAAATTCTTAAAGTCGATCTCAGAACATCGATTGTGCTCAAACCCACCATTCAATGCCGTTTGTATACGGTGAGCCCTAATCGCACCGACTTTGTAGCTCGAGCTATGCATGCTAATCATCCACACCGTTTAAGGTTCGTGTTACGGTATCTCCTTTCACCAGACTGAATATCCATGGAATCAAAAAACTTTTTGTTTGGTGTTCCCTCCCTATTACATACAAACCATCTTGTTTGTATGTCTCCGTTCTTGTTTGTTTTTTTGGCGTGCAGACGAACATCAAAACCAGCATTGTCTGCATATGCTCTATACATCTTTTCCACGTCATTTATAGTTAAGAAGTGTGAGTTGATCTTTGGTTTAAGCTCCTCATCAACCTTGGGGATAAAAAACTGATTTCCTTGTGAACACTCCTCGACAGCGTACTCCGGTTCATGTTATGATATTGTAAGAATAGGAACACCTGTTGATACAATAATATCTTGTAACATCAATGAACAGTGTTCACCTCTTGTTCAATGAACGAAATATGAACATGGGCACACACTAACAAATGAACGAAATATTCACATGAACACACATAGGTGAACAATTGGACGCTGATGATGATTATCGTAAAATAGCAGGATAACATGTTAAAATGTACGTACTCTAATGTCATGAAAAAAATTGGAATGATGTTAATGTATGACGTATATGAGCACATTAAGAGATGCAATTAACCACCCAATAATATGAACAATTGCAAACATTTGGAACACACCATGAAAAAATCGCAAATAAAAAAATTTGATGTAAAATTTTCAAAAAAAAAACCATGAACGAATGGTAAACATGAACAGGAACCATATGTATATGTACATATATGAACATGAACAGGAACCATTGGTATATGTACATGTACACGGACAAATAAAAAACACAAACAGGAACAATGTATCTATGAACATGAACAAGAACAATGTATCTATGAACATGAACAGGAACAAATGATGAACATGAACAAGAGCCATGTATATAAACATGTATGTTGACATTACCAAATGAAGGAATGGTAAACATGAACAAGGACCGTATATATATACAAACATGAACAATAACCTTATATATGTGAATATGAACAAGGACCATATATATATATATATATATATATAAACATGAACAAGTACCAAATATAAAGGTATTTATGTGTGTGTCGTCTAGAGAAAAGGGACCCAATCATAAGAATATCATTGTCAAATGCGCATGCAAGCCTAAACAAAGGAACAACCACCGTTTTCATATATTCAAAACATTATGTGGCCAATGGGTTGATAAGCGTTACCATCCACCTTTTTAACTTCAAGCCTTTGCCTATGAATATTTATTTAACCAAAATCATATTATTTTTTTGCATTTTATAATTAGTTGACCACTCGTAGTTAACGATTTTTATACGTTAGATGAAATTTCACCATGGTGAGAGAATATCATAAAAATAATATGAAATGGACTATAAAAAAACACAACACATCGTAATGAACATACTTTCGATCAATATGAATCTAAAAAAAATAAAAATCTATTACCAAGACATTCGGTTTGGTTGATTTCATGACTTCCCGACCTCGAACTCGGATTGCCTTCATAAACCATTGTAATCTCCGCGGCGTTGTCGATTTTTTTCCTTTACGTGAACAAGATATGAAAATAAATGCATTTTATAATTAGTTAACCACTCGTAGTAACGATTTTTATACGTGAGATGAAAATGCACCATGGTGATAGAATATCATAGAAATAATATG